TACTGAACAGTGTGTTAAGTGTTTTAGATACATTTTGTCTTGTTATAGTGCCTTATGGGGAACAAGGGCAATGGATTATAACTAGTACTAATAGTTATCCAAACACAGTTAACAAGTGTAAAATGGTTATCACATTATTATTGAGATCTGCATCAAACACCAATAATGTTTAACATCCCAAGTACCTGCTCCCTCTCCTCTTTGTCAGTTGTGATATTTTGCAAATTAATCATAGAACATACTACCTTCTGGGCTGGTATGTGTGCAATGCATGTGTACCATGACACCTTAGCACCAAATATGTATCACGAACCGCATGCAAAAATGCAAGTGCTCCTGCAAACGTAAATGTCCACGTAGCAGCACCGCACACACTCTATTATTTAAACCCTCACTTTCCTCTTGGACATCGCTCACTATTTAGGTTTCCTCCCCGACCTGCTCTACAACTTCCTTCTCCTGAAGACTAGCGTTTCTCTCGTCTGTCCTTGCTGGCTTTTGACTCCTTGCAACCATAATCGACCGCGACTTTGCCTCTCGTTTTCGATTAGTTTTTGATTCAGAACCTTATCTACCTCCTGACCAGACACCACGGGAGATTGCTACACACAGGGTCCTACCTGCTCCAGCCTCCTATTTGACATTATGTGCAATGTACAATATGTATTATTATATGAACAATTATCTGCAATTCAGAAATAAATCTTTTCTGGTACCTTTGATGTCAGAATCAACGCATTACCCAAGTCTGCCTTCAGAAACACTGACAATTATATTTCTTGAATCATACACTCTTAATTACAATGCTTTTTTGCAAACTTGTACAAACTCTGACATTCGTACTGTAAATAGTTGAATTAGTTTGGATATGTCAGTTCTGTATGCCCTTTTGTGATAGAAAAATATACATGTTCAATGCCATCATTAAGTTAGCATTCCTTTATTACTTTACTTCATTACATTAATAGCATTGCTATCAATTTTATAATGTCTGCCCCTGTACATCAGAGGTATCAAATCCTAATGCACTAGTCCAGATCAATTGCCTGCATTAAACAAATCTTATGTACAAATCTTTTTAAAAAAAAGATCCATGGAATGAGTTGGGTAGGAATGTACATCATTGTCAATTACTGCCAAACAATATCACTGATCTGACAATTGATTGACAATCCCTATTTTCCTTTTACATTGTTCTCTGCAGTCTCCAATATTGTATGCTTGTTTATACTAGGTATTGATCATGCATATTGTAGTACCTTACTTCAATGTACATTTTGACTGAAGGCTTGATTTTTAAACTTTAAGGTCAGAAATATTATTGTATAGGATTGAATACCTATATCATAGCCAAAAGGATAGAGGACAAGTAGGATGTTTCTTTCTTGAAATTCAAGTGGTATTACTACTATTTATACACACATTTCAGTGTATTATCAGACAGATTTTTTATTCCCTTAGAGATGTTCCCTTAAAGTGTTATTGAAAGTATTGTATTTTAGCTATGATGTATTTGATAATTTATTTTGCTTAAGCTCATCAAACTCAAACCATACTGACATATTTAAATGCTATAGGTAATTCTCTTCTTGTCCAGTATTAACCAAAAACATTCCTACTGTTATCACTGAACATTCTGTTCTCCAATGTGACTGATTGTAAATGTGCATGCTTCTGATCAGGGCTATGCCAATTTAGTTATGTGACCAGAAGCTCCAAAAAGGCGTTGTACAATTAGCCAAGTGCTCCTGGAAGTTGGATTGGTAGTATGGTGGATTGGTGGCAGTAGTTCCTAGCATCTAGCTCTGTTCCTATTTTTTAGGTGTAGTGCACTCAACAATCCATTTTCTTCAAAATAACACTACCACAGTACATAACATTTGCACATCAGTAAATTATACCCATTTCTAGTCATTTTATAAGTTTTAAGATCCACTGTTTTATCAAGTTACTTGAGAACAGGATGTTTTTCAATTACGTTCAGCATGGTACTGGCATATCAAAGCATATAAGATATTAATAATCCCAGACAAACACATTTATATAATACTCTGTTTTGACAACTTTAGATACCCCTCTTTAAGAAAAACAGGGTTCTTATAACTATAAGGCATTACACCACAGCCTTTTTTATTCATCTAAGGTTGTATTCCTCCAAGGCACATCTCTTTGAGCATGGCCTTTTTCCAGTCAGTTTATGTTAGTTTTTATTATTCAGTTTAGTCATGAGTTGACTCTATTGTTTTTTTTTTTATTGTAAAGCCTATTCAGATTGATTTTTATTTTTATGATAAGGTGACTTGAAAGGGACTGGTCGCAAGATCTTCCCATTACTGTAAGTGAAGAGGACATGTTATATCTGAAAAAAGGTAATTCATCCTCCTACTACTAATCTTTGCAGAGCAGATACTATTCTCTTTATGTACGCTTAAAATTACTTGCACATATTTTTAAACGTGTACAGATTTGAAAATCGATTAAGTGTTCGTGGAATTTTGATTAATCTGTTATAACAGTCAGTGATGCACTAAAGTGACTTTAATAGTTGTATTAACAGAACATCTCCTCATTTGAGAGGGAGCACAAGTGATGAGTGTCCTGGTGATGTGATGTAACTGTTGAATGCCAAGCTTGGTGAAAATCAAGAAAGACACAAAGGATAAACAGGGCATGGTATCTCAAGAGAACAATGCCTTCATGCCATCATTATGTTGGAGGAACACGTCAGGTGGCTCATCAGCATTAGGGTCAAGTCCTCTTTAGCAATGAATCATGACCATCTTAATGGATGTCTGCGAGTTTGACAGACATGCAGACCAATATGCTAATTGTGTTCAGAAAACCAATCGATGGGGAGTCTGAGTGAGTATCCTGTTCCAGAACTCCACTGCAGTAACGGATATCTACCTGACTGCATGGCACATATAAATCAAATTTTGAGACCTCAGTTCTGGCTGACTCATTCAGATGTATCAATATTCCTTCATTACAACACTAAACATTGTGCTGCTCATTACAGTTCGTGTTGCTTCAGATGGTGGCCATACTCAATTAGTCTTTTATGAAGATTCACGGTAACCCCACCCACAAAATCTCTGTTGGTCACCATGTTTGACAAAAGTTAAACATAATGAATTTGGCTGTCATAACTGTTCAATAAAATGTCATTTCACCTGCTATAAAATAGATTGGCATTTTTCCTCAAACCTTTGTGTATATGTTGCAATAATGAGTAGTGCATTTTGATGCATAGCATAAATTCTAGTGATTCAGTGCCTCACCATGAACCCCTTTTTATTTTGGAATCGGTGCTAGTAATGCAACTAACAGAATTTTGCTGACTCTGCAAAAACGTTTTCAAAACAATAAATTGCAACCAGAACCCTTTTTAGCATGTATGGTGTAAATTACACCATAGGCTATTTACTGCTTGCTGTTTAGCTTAATTGCTGCAGTAATATTTCCAACAAGTGCAAAACCAGTTCTTATTGTATAATGTTTCATACACATTGTGAATAGACTTTAAGCACTTGCATTAATAAGTCCCTAGAACATTTTTTAAATGCTGACTGATAAATAATTGTACACAATCATGACTTCATAAATAATGTTCCTTAATTTAGATTGTAAATTACTTGATGCACCAGCATTTCATTAACTGAATTCATGAACGTAGTTCTTCATGGTGCTGATATAAGACGTTATTTAGAGCATTTTTTAAAATAAAGTGTCTAACTATAAATAACCTCTTAACACTAGAGAGTAATCTGTTTGGATAGAATACAATAGTGGGACCTCTTCTGGCAGGCTGCTTGGAAGGTATTTGTTCATAATAAAAATTTCAACAATGTTCAGTTTGAATGTTTTGTTTTTGGTAGGAAATGTGGCATACCTCATTGAATAACTATATATATATATTTTTAGGAGCATATCAGGAGCACTATTTTTCAAATTAGGATTAGTGTTCCTATTTACCATTCAACAACAGGCATGTTTCAAATTTCATACAAACCCTGTATATAGTGTACAGTATATGCCGTATATCTATATCATAAGCAAAACGTATAAGTGCTAAATGAGAAGTAGGATATTTAATATTAATTAGTGTAAAGTAAACTACTATAAAATCAACATTCTTTTCCACCTGTTTTAAACTGGTAAAACAAACAATTTGAAAACCGTCTTACTGTTTCCATGAGTGCAAGTACGTCAAGTCATTGGTTTTGAATTGTGGAATGAAGCAATTCCCTCAGGAAAAACAGATTGAACTCCACTGATGCAGAACTGGGGTTGCTTTCCATCTGAGATTATTTTACTGTTGCTTGCATGTTGGTATTGAAGTAGATTTAGAATAACTTTTTAGAACTGAAACAAAACACTGCTGTTTGTGTAGGAAATCAAAATTAAACCACATGGACTGATCCCAAAACCATTTTGCTTTCAAAAAGTGTAGTCCATTACAATATAGTTTGGCAATCATTTGGCATGGCAGCTATTATGAGTAAAGACAAATTTTAATATTCTTTCTGCATTTGCCGTAAAATAAAACCGAGCCAAGCTACTACGTAAGACATAAAACCATGTGTGCTACTTTAGACTACTCTATTGCATCATGTCATGGGACAGTATGAATCTGCGGGTTTTTCTTTTCATAACTTGAAACATGAAACCCAGGAGCCAAAGCCAATGTGTAGTAGTTCATTCTTGTAGTTACACATAGTCAGGCATGGAAAGGCAATGATATCTATAAAATTATCTGAAGGCTAATACATTATATAGATGTATTATTCCAGTGCTGACAATGGTTACCCTGGCATTAGGTGCAAATCCATTACCTTCATTTCCTCTCCATATGATTATATGCTAACATTCCATAGATATTGCCACGTGCACTGTTCCAGTTAGATGTTTTATTTAGGCTTTAACGTCCACTTAATTTGGATGAACAAATGCCCTTTCTCACTTCAGATACTCAAATACAAAAAAGAAAGTCCACATACCTTTCCAACATAAAGTGGATCATTGCCAGTATATTCCTCGAGTACAAAGAATTGGTTCCACACCCAGCTCCGCTTTTCCCTCCGCAGAGTCGCACCTGAGTGCTGGGAGTGTAAATGTGAGCCTGAGCTTGAGCTTTCAGTACAACTTGCCTCCCACAGGGAAAGGAGAAGGGTCACAATCCCCAGAAATGTCTGGATGTTTACTGTCACTGACTTCATTTGCTACAGTATTAAGGAAATTAAAGAAATCTACAAAAAGAACAAGAGCGTTGGAAAAATTTGCAGGAGTTGTAGCAGGCTTTTTTTTCTGACCCAGAGGAAATCTGCAGGACTCAAGAGTTGACCATCTGTAGCACACTGGGTGAGGAGGGGTGGATGATGCAAATTTAACTTCACTGGGGAAAATCGGGTAAAAGGCACCTATAGAGAGAGAAAAAAAATGTTGTTTTATTAAATGCTATTAAGAAATAGTTATGATTGCAGCATTTTAAATAAAATTTGGTTTTGTTAGTTAATGTGCCAAACTCAGCTAATGGAGAAAGTCAAAACATTTAACATACTAATACATGGATAGAAACCATGGTATACAAAGTATTGCTTCTTTCTTATTGTCATTTAAAGTAATGATGAAAAATACCAATGTTGCAGGATTTATTAGGTTCACAGATGAGAACAAATATGGACTTCTTCATAGAAGGGAATTGAACTATATTGCGCAATAAAACCTAAGAATTTGTAATATATAGTAAAAAACAATATCTTCAATGTATAGCAGCAAACTGATTAAAGACTATGAAATGAGAAGCACTGCATTATTACAGAACAACAGTGTGATAAGATTTTCTGTTAGCTGCAAAAGATCATAACTGAAATTAATGTTATGAACATTTTCAACCATGTTAAAAAAGGGTAATGGAATCTTCCATTTTCAATCCATCTAAATAGAGCAGATATACCTTCAACTATCAAAAGTACATTAGATGTGTGAGTCACAGAAAGAAGTTGGGAGCTACTGACTTCCTACATAATGGTGTGCGCAAAAGTGTTTTGTTCTGGATTTAGCTATTAGGTAATAGTTTGTAAAGCATATGCTTAGTTTAACTGGCCAGCAGCAGTAAAAGAAAACCAAGTATATTATTTTTCAAATGAGTTACAATAGTTGTACTGTTTTTGACTAGTGTTGGATTCAGAGTAAATTGTCAATGCTTCAAACATCAAAGATATGCTTTGAAAATTAACCTCTTGATGCCTTGGAATTCACAGGACCTGAACTGATGAATTTCTCCTGCACGGCAAGAATCAAAACTTTAAGCAAGATTCAAACTAATCAAATCTGAAGAAATTAATTTATAGTGAAAATGATTTGGTGTTTGCACTTCAGTCTTCAAATTAAAGCTTAAATGTTTTATCTACTTTACTGTGACACCAGTAATCACTAAACTAAAATTAATTTGGAGGATTGAACTCAAAGCAATGGATGTACTTTGGTTTTAATACACTGGCACTTATGGCACTGTATATCACACTAAAAGGTTGTTTAAAACTAATTGGACTATTTGAGGAAACTACATTTGTTGCTTTGGCATATTTGCAGTATTGTTTTCTTTAATCCATGAACTTTCTATTATAACCAATTAAAAAGGGAAATATTTAAAACAGGAACTTGTCTCTTGGAATGATGTGTGACAATACATTGTGTTCCATTATTTTACTTAGGAGGATTTTCCCTAGTGCTTTCAGAGAACCATGACCTTCTTAAATTGACGTTGTGCCACAGTTATCCAGGATGAAACAATTGTTTTAATATTTCCACAATGAAAAGGGTAGCACTTTGCAGCGTTCTGCCTATTCCTCAAGAGGTAGTGCATGACTTGATAATACTAACAAAAATTAATTATAGACTAATAAGAACTTTTAGTGCTTTATATAAGGCTGAGACCATAAAGGATAAATCCATATATGAACAGGAATTCAATTTATATTCAGGATGCATTAAGGAAAGTTGGATCTTGTGTTGGGCAATGAAGGTTGTTTTTTTTTTCCCCAGAATTACACAATATCTTCTGAACTGACATTCAGTGTAATGCATCAAGACGTTCCAGGAAACGGTTTCCACTTTCCACTTCCCAAAATCATATAAGGACATCCATCCAGTTTCTGACCATGTATCCAATACAGGGTTGCAGCACTTATTCAATACAGGGTGGCTCCCAAATCAATGGGAACAAGAGTGTTTCAGGATACATGCCAGTCCGTTACAGATCATAAAAGGCCTTTAAAGGTAATTTCTCTGCTTCAATTTGTAGTGATGAAGGGCTTCACATTTTAACTTTTTTTTAATGAGGATGGTCTTTACTCATTGTAGGACAATCTCACATTCACCTCTGTTCTGCAATTCATGTCATTAGACTGTTGCATCGTTCAAGTCAACTAATGTAGTGGTTAATGATAATACAGGGAATAGCCAGCTTTAATATAAGCTGGTACATACTGAGGGAAGACTGCTCAGACTTATGTTGATGAAGTCCTCAAGCCAATGGTTCTTTCCTGTTTTTGTTTTCCAATGTGCCAATCCCTTATTGTCAGTTTTCCTGGAGGCCAATGCAAGACCACACGATGGTACAAGCACATTGGCATGACTTCAAGAAAATGCTGCGATCTTATCATGGTCAGCTTTTCTTTCCTAACCTGAGGTTAATAGAACATATGTAGGAGCAACGTGCCCATAACATCAACTGCAGATAATCACAATTAGACAACCTATGCCAGCTGGCATAAGAAGAGTGGTGGCAAGCCCCACAGCAATCTAGACCCTACCTGGCAGTGTTGGCGCTGTGACAGTAGTCTTAAATTTCTTAATAATGAATACTACAGTGAAAAGTGGTCAATTCATCTTTTTATGATTTTTTTATAGCCATCCTCCAACTTACTGAAGTTAATTACCATTTGCTAACAGTCATTAGAGTGCTCTCTAAACTGATGTTGCATACGGTATTAGAATGTCTTCTGTATGTTGCCTCCCCTTTTACAAGGAAATAAACTTCAGAGGGTTCTATTGCATACCTACAAAGCAGTGTATTAATTGTAGATCTGATTCTGAAATGCATACAGAGCGGTATGAATACATGTTATCCTCATGTTTTATGGAGTGGAATTGTTTATAGCATGTGAATTGGTATCAAGATTTGTGTGTAATATTTTTAGACTTCATAACACAGAAAGTACAGGTAATCATCTTGGTGAAGCTGGGCAACGGTTCTATTTCTTAGATGTTTCTGTGTGAAAACCTAAAGAAATGCTTCTAAAATGTAAAATTTTTAAAAAGCAAAATTACCCTTTTAAAATTCTAAAACATTCACCTAATTCTTTGAAATATTTCTTACTCTTTGCAAAACATAAATACACATTTACAGCATGACCTGGTCATGTCACATTGTTTTAGAACAGTGTTTTTTTCACACTCTACAAAATAGAACTAAAATTTCAAGTAATACCTCTCAGAATATTTTAAGTGGCTATTTATATATCCAGTGAAATCCAGATATCTTTATTATATATTTTATTATATATTTTACTCATAACTGGTTTATTGTTTTTAGATAGATGTATAAGTACATATATTTAAATCATATTCCTTTTTATTGGTTTTGGCAAATAATGCACTGTTAAAAGAAAAAGAAAATCACCATGTACTGTTGAGGAAACAACCTGTTGAGAATGACCAATTTCTCTTATAAATCAAAAAAGTGCTTGTGATCTTTTTGAGATCAAGGGATCTTAATTGGATCTTTTTATGATTCTTTTTGTTTTGCAGGTTCTGATTAGCCTACTTTCTGATGTAACAATGAAATGCCTGAACTTAAGAAAAAAGCAGCTCAAGTAAGTCCAGTGCCACCTTAAACATACAGTAAGTACAGATATTCTGTGCTAGTGAGCACCACCAGAATTTTACTTCTGTCTTACTTTTATAATGGTACAGAAGTATTGCTTCTCATAAGAAGCATTTCTATCTTTTGTCCTGAATCTGTCAACACTCAGGTTTTAAATGTGTTCTTTGCTCATGTTCAATTTAAAGACATTATCTTGATAGAAACACAAGACCATCCTAAAATGATATGAAGAAGAGAAAAGCATACTGCTCACTGGGCTTTATCAGATTGTATCAAAGTAAATGATCCAAGGATTTATGTTTCTTAGAAGATCTTATTCCTTTCTATAATAAGGGTTGGTAACTTTGTATCCATGCACGGATCCTTTAGTTTCTAAAAGATAAAGTTTTTAATTCCCTGAAGATTTTTTGGAGATGACAATACTGCAATTCAAGAGAAAACACACATCAAAAGGGGTGTTACCATAGTTGTGGTATTTGGTATTCTACATACTCAATACAGGGGCCCCAGACAATGTCTTCCGCACCTTGGAAGAATAGTCACATCAACCCTCTCAAAGGATTTGATCTTGAATTCACTAGTACGGATGAGAAAGCCAGGGTGACTATGGTATGGAAATTTCTTATCTAATCCCTTTAATCTCATTTGCAAAGCTTGGTTTACAACAGGATTACAAGCATTTAGTAACTGATAATTTTGGAGTTTGGTCAGCATACTCTCAGCCATTGGAAACAAATTTAAAAGTGTGAACCTCAAAAGAGATTTACATAGCTCAGCCTGCTTGAATCCCAAGCTTCAGATATTCTCAGTCTTTTTTCAATTTTACCCATGCCTGACAGAATACAGTACATTGGACCTTTATTTCCATAAAGTGGGCAAACTTAAAAGGGTGATTTTGTTCGTTTTTTTATGTCCCATTTTTTTTCTTGAGACAAAATTGTATGGAAGAATGGTAGTATTTTTAGGATTTAGATTATTCTGCTGCATTATTCATTCTCTCTGTCTAATGCTACATGACATGCTGCTTCCTTCAATTTTTATTAGTCTTAAGTATCTGACCAAGCCTAGGGGGGAATCATGGCAGACTCCAGATAGTCATGTAATGTGGAAGGAGTTTACGCTGTTATAATTCTATTATGCTGTCTGTTTGAATTTCCTTATTCTCCAAGGGGCTTTGTCCCCTGATAATGCACTCCTTAAACATTTTTAAAACAGGTTTTGCACCAGCCTGATTGTGGTACACAGAATATATTTGAGAGCTCACATTTGTATATATTTTTAGAGCTGTCTATGCATGTGACTTTTTAATAGCATAAGAATCCAGATGTCCTGAAAGATATTCAGTAATTATATAAATAACAGTTGATGACATTTTCTTCATTATGATGCCTATACTATTATGATGTTTCAAATTTCTCTGTAATTATCATTTATCAGGAAGTACCTTACAAAACTAAAATGATCATTCAAATAAACTACAATAAATGAATATGACGGGTGATAGGGGTGATGTGATCTCATAAAAGATGA